CGGAAAGACTATGTTAACTCATTCGATACAGCAAGAAGATTCCAGGGGTAGGAAGATGGGTATCATTTCGCTATTTCAGCTCTTTGAAGATCGAATTTCAGAAGAAAGGTTGATATCATGTGAACCTCGAGTTGATAATAACAACTACCAGTCAGAAATCTCTTGAGCAAATAATTACCTTCACCGTCTGGACACCAATATATTTTTCTTCCACCAAGTACACCTGGTCGATAACCCATTGGAACTTGTATGCAAATCAGCAAATGTGAGAGATTCCACACTTGCACCTCAGTAAGCTCCTAGGAAGTTGACACCGTAATCACACAAGAATTAATTCTGCGAAACCAAATGCCTGCATGAGGAAATAACTTCACAGAGGGTATAAGATTGTTTGCGCTGGAAAAAAAAATGGATTTGAAGAAAAATGTGCGATGATTTCACAGAACTTCTGAGAAGACAAGCGGGAGCAGATGGAATATTCAACACCTCATACGATCGATCTTCTGAACTATACAAAGTCAAGACAGAATATCAAATCACTATTTAGAGAGCTCGAATATTCTGATGATTGGCCAATCGTCTATTTAAAATTCCAGAAAGCCAATGGAACCCAATGATCAGCGGTAGTATCAAATTGGAGAGCAGATGTCGAGAGGAGTACCATCATAACAATGTCTTGAGCAAACAAGTATAGATGAGTCAATCGATAGCCAGAGTCAAATTTGATGTCAACGAAGGTCTTCTCAACAGAATACGTGAAAGATTCGTGAAAATTAATATTCAGCGCAACACTGGGGAAGGATGTGCCGCTGTTGAAAGTTATCAGTTTGGAGAGTCTATTAAATACTCTCTACTATTAGAAATCTGCCGCCTAATCGTGAATATGACGTTTTGATGAAGTCATATACAGTGCAAGCCATATCGATGTACTTGAGGACGAGAACAGAAATTTGCTTTCATAGTCGAGATGACACATGCTCCCGCTATTCTAATTTCAACAAAGAATTGCAGTGGCCCAATAATATTAAGAACTGGTAGTGAAGAAAGGCTCAATGTCCTACGACAGCGGAATAATGCCACAAAATTCCAAAATTTTCAGCCTATCCACTCCAATGGTTCGTATCACAGTAGTGCGATGAAGGACGTTGAATCGTTGGGCCCTATCAAGTGCAATAATTCGGAGGAAAAACAAAGATTCCAGCGACAAAATAAATCTAGAGGTGACAGAAAGAAGTTCTTTTGCTTTGATATATATCTTATATTCTGCATCACACGACTTTCGACACAACGTTAATTTAACTGACCGAAGCTAAGCCTTGTTCTCGCGCCAACCAACATCCGTTGAAATTTTTATAAGCTTTGCAAATTTAGGGGGCATATTTGGCGTTGTGTAGCTAAAGCCTCAACACTTCTAACCCTTCTCTCAAATGTTTTGTATAGAAGGTATACTGTAGGTACCCTTGTCCTTCGAGATACTCTTTACTAGTTAATCACAAGGAGATACAGAAATGTTTATTATTATCTTCAGAAAAAGTTCGGTAAAGCCTCATGACATGCGAGCCATAACCACGCATAGATTTGTGAATAATTAAGTGTTTGATATGTTAAACCAAATATTACGTACATCCATAGTTAGCACATAACATCATATACAACAAACCCTAATAAGTCCCTAAGAAATTAAGATACATGGGTAAAATCTATGTCTAGTCATTCTACATTTTCGAAGAGGAGGGCATAAAAGTCAGTTCAAATAAGATAAGCTCGAAAACATAATTTACATTTGGTTAAAAATTATGCATATCACAATGATACCCACAGCAGATATGACAAAGTGCTTGTTGAAGTCGGAGTATCTTACAAATTCTAATGCTATTTTATCTATCGAGTAGCTGCCAATGCGTTCCGCAACCCTTCTGATCCGAGAGAATCAAAGCTTTCAGCGGATGCATCGCTCTGACTACGCTAAAAACG